CTTATTATCACATCTCATGAATTCTACTGACTATTTTAATAACATAACGGTCAGTGTGTCATCAACAAATCGCCTGTAGTATGTTGGCATCTTGCCTTCCTGCTCCAATCTTTCTTCAATGCTACACATAAACACACTAGCGAGTAAAGGACCAAGTGGGGATCCCATAACGACACCGTCTGTTTGTTCATAGAGCTGACCATTGAAAATGAAAAGTTGATCTTTTAATAGTTGCTGCTCTGAGAAGATCGACAAGGGCTTGTCCATTGAGATGAAGTTGGTACGTTTCATTGAACCAACCATTATTAACATCCAATTAATTTCATTTATATCACCTTGCTTTGAATTTAGAGACAAACTTATCTCCGAATAATTAATCCTACTAATGGTTAAAAATAAGCAATGATGAATATGTTTCAAATTATTTTAAACATTCAATTTAAAAGGAATCAATGATTAATTTCAAGTAGCTTTTGCAGCACTGTAATACTTTGTTACAGTCATACAAATAAAGCGTATTGTTGTTGTTGTTGTTGTTGGCTTGCGTATTAGTTACACTCTTATTGCTGGTTTTCAGTGTCAAGCCCATTCAAAATAGATCAAAATAAAAATCAAAACCGTTCAATAGATAAAGAGTCCAGAATCTGGGAAATGAAAGGAAGTACATATACAAAGACCCTCACCAAGATTCAGGTCAGAGGAATATTTCGTATACGAGATATCCGAAGGAATGTTTTACCCAAATTATAGAGATTTGTATGGAGACGCCACGCTGTAGCCTCCCCGCAGACGTTTTTTGGGGTTCGCGTGACGAACGAACCCCAAAGGACGTCTGCGGTGACGTTAGCCATGCTAGTGCTCACCTGGATGAGCTCCAACATGGCGGACGGAAACCAACATAAACATCTGTTACCGAGTTTTGCGACAAAAGCGAGAATTTATTCTTCGAGAAACTCATAAACATTAAGTAATACTATTTCTAATACATGAACCGTTTAGATAGGAAAATTTCCTGAAATAAGTCATTTTTTAACCTACAAGACAGCTCTCTTGGCCGTCATGTAAATGCCGCGTCACGCAAAAGCTTAGAAATTGAAGCGTACTCTATCACAAAACCAAGAACCCTTATGAAGCGAAAATTTGTATGAAAATTAGCTTTCAGCTGCTCTAATGCATCGTGAAAGTAAAATCTTGGTAGGATCGATATTTTTTTTTATTTTGAATTTTAGTGACGTCATGTGAAAACCAGTGATAAAAACACCTAAAATGGCCATACATCGGCTCGGGAACCACACAGGAAAGACGAAACGCACAACTTAAGTGGAGATAGCCAATTTTACTCAAATCCTTTCACATTCGTAGCTTACAGAAAGAATCGTTTTCCTCCATACAAATGCCTACATTTCGAAGATTCCGTAACAATGCCGATGGTCAGTCATATTTCAAGCTCAGGCCACCTGCTGTGTTCATTGTTCCTTCGAATTATCACGATCAAGATCGCAGGAATTTTCAGCTAGGAATCTAAGAAACACTTAAGCATACGTGTTACCAAGACAGCAACAGAGTTTGAAGACTTCGCTACCAAAGCAATGGTCGAGGAGAACTGGCGGCCGGGATTAAAAGATGCTGAATGTTATTTTGCATGCGATCCGACATGCGGCTTTGTTGGGGAAGTGAATGGAAAACCCGTAGGCTGTGTTACACTCACGAAATACGGTGATACCTTTGGGTTCATAGGATGTTATATCGTGAGCAAGGAGCACAGGGGAAAAGGTTATGGGAAGGCGATTTTTGACGCCGCGTTATCAAGCGTCAAGCCCTCGCGACTTCTTGCGCTGGCTGCATTATCGCATCTAGAAAAGATGTATCAGAAGACAGGCTTTGAAAGTGTATTCTATGGAACAAGGAGGAGCAGCAGCAACCAATACCAGTCGTTTGTATTGACACCTTCTCAGAAAAAGGAAAACAGCTTGCTTTAAGGCTACAAGGAAAAATCGTTTTTAATCTGGCGTACATGACTACAAAAAGAGTTGTTCCCAAGGCGTGTTTTGATAAGTGGTTTGGTGCAACGGCGGTTGAAATTGGTTAAAGAGACGGCTATCTCACGAGAATTTTGCTGCTTTAAGGTCAATTGACTCAATTCTGTGCTTGGGTACCCTTACCCAAAATGTTCCAAACAAATTTTTTATGAGGAAGCACTTTTGAGAAGAAGTGCATTTATTTTACCATACATTCATATACATAGCATATAAGATACACTAGAACCTGTAGAGTATTTGCTATAATTTGTTCTTCTGAATTCGATGTGTTTGTTTGATGCTGATCACGTATTGTGTTAATAACTTACTTTTATTAGTTTTAAAAAGGTTATCTACGAGTGTTGGATTGGTAGCTTGTCATGGTAATAGGAATGCATAAAAACGGTTGTTAGATAAGCTATAGTTGATAAAGTGGAATGCATATGGTTATGAAACCCGTTAGACTCCTTTGTTATTTGTTTTTGTTAAGCTTTTTTGGACCTGACCACGCACAACGTTCAATAACATTCCTATCATTTTGAACTTACTGACCAATAGAAACATCGCCTTAATTTATTCAGTCACAATTTGTAAACAAAAACAAAAGCATCAATGCACGGTCAGGGGGCATGCAACAAAACCTACAGCACCGTTTTTTTCAACTTTGATGTTTGCCGGGTTTCATAACCAGCCTCCTTTACTAACTATGTATAAGTATTTAATTCAGAGATATTTAGTATTTTCAGAGATTTGTTGGTACTTGCAGGCATACCCGGAAAACATGAGGCCAACTTTTTCACGTTTCAATCCATGTCCATCCTTACCATCCGTTGTAACAGACGACAGGAAAACAATATGGTCTTAAACAACAAAACTGGGCCATTTTTGCAATTCAAATGATGGTCATTGATACGAAAAGGTTTTGCCGTGCAGTGCACTATTTAGACTCCCTATCCACTCAGCAATTACATTTGCAGTAGCTGCGGTTCACCGGATTACCATAAATGACCTAATAAACGTCTGGGGTATCTATTTTATTTTTAGGGGTCCAAGCGGGGGCGTTTAAAAGACAGGAGGCGTTTAAAAGAGAGAGGCGTTTATTCTCATAACTGTAACAAAATTCACAGAACTAATATGCTTTCGGCAAAAAATTCGGTATTAGTAAAATCCACCTAGTGGTCTGTTATCAATGCTGCGTTCTGGTTGGTTGAGCTACTACTAGGCTATATGTTATAGCCCACTAGTAGGGAAAAGCGCCGGCTTTTTGGCGGCAAAAAAGGATTAAAGTCTATCTTTAAGTAGCTAAAATTTTTTTGATCTCGATATTTTTGACCAACTAGTTGAATTTTACTAAAACAACTATTCCTCTCGCCCTCATGGCCTCTGAGTCAATAGCCCATTCGGCCTTCGGCCTCATGGGCTATTGACTCAGAGCCCAATCGGGCTCGAGGGATAATTGTTAAATGTAGGAGCTGCTCGTAAGGTCTTTCCTGACTTGTTTATTGAAACAGTGGTAATTCATTGTTTTCCGGTTTGGGTAGCAAACCAATTAGCTTTCACTAGCGGAATATCGACTCCATCAATTAATACGTCTAGACCGTATAGAGATCTATATCGCTCTTTCAAATTCCAACATCTATGTCAGAATCCTCGCTCAAGGTTATTCTGTTGCCATCGTTAGTCTATCATTACTTTGAAGTTAACATTGAACAAGACATTCTAATGTCCGCTAATTCTGATTGTAATGTGGACGATTTGTTCCTGGCACTAGGTTGGCGTAAGCTTAAACACCAAAGACAAGTATCGACGGCTATTATAAGAAATTAAGCAGTTCCTGTGCACAGTTTTTAATTTTAAGTTCTGTTTTCTTACCATGACCTGTTGACTTGTAACAAGGTTGTTTGTTCATGTACATGTTAATGTTCCCTCCTTTAATATCTTGGAGGAACTTAACAGCTTGTCTGAACTCTTCATCAATCAGCATAAAATACTCAGCGTGAGCTGTATTTGCATTTGGACCTTCGTAACAGTTTCCGTATCTGGCATGAAATATCAATCGCCCATCTTTGTCCGTTACTCTCACATAAATCACAACTGTCTCAGCAAATTTCTTTTTATCTCCTCGCTTTCCAATCTTGCACTCCGATCTGTCAAGACACAGAAATCCCGCATGGCTTGTTTCTGAGACGTGATAGAACATGCCACAGAACTGAGCTTTAGTAATTAGTAGTGGATTGAAGCCTCCAACTTTATGGTTATCTTTGTGATCTCTAACCGTGCTTGTTTCATCGCAAACTAACTTCTTTTCGTATTGCACAAAGCACCAACCCAGTGGCGAAGAAATTGGAAAGTAATTTATAAGGTTTTTTTTATTCCAGTCCATGTTGATGAAAATTATTTCAGCTCCGCATGTGACAAATAGCTGGAATAAGGGACCCCGGCCTACCACAATATTGTGAGGAACTCGAACTGTTTCAAAATTCAGTTGTATTCTTGAACTTAATTCTTTCTTTATATCAATTACATCTTCTACAATCAGACTTCGCGTAGCGTTATAGCCAATAACAAATTGGTTTATCTGTTCTTGGTCTCCTTCCAAGGTAAAAATCTTAACAGACTTATCGCCAATGTCCGAAACAACAAGGTGGTTATTTGGGGCAAAACAAACGTCATAAGGTTTAAAAAGATTTCTAGTCAGCTTTCTTGTCACCCATTGTTCCTCAGGGATGTCATTTGCCTCTTTCCCGTACAAAAAAATACAATTTTCATGTCTTTTTAAAACAGCCACTACCCCCTGATAAGAAATTGCTATCCTGTCTCCTTCAAAATCTTGAAACATCCCATCCGCCATTATCATCA